AGTAAACCATTTCCGGCCCGTTCTTGCATTGGTGTCGTTAGTCTTCCGTTGGGCGCCGACATCGAGATCGAGGGTATCGTTCAGTTGCCTCACAAATAAGTGTTTAAATGTATTAAATTATTTGATTGATTTACTATTTTAATGTATTAAATCCAAAATATTGTACCCAATTTTAATGATTAATTAATAAAAATCTCAATTCTTTTATAAGTAATGAACATTTTATTAATTAATACGACCGACAATACGCTAATAAGATTTGAAATTATTATAAATTTAATACGGTATATGCTATTTTATATTATTTAATTTACACAGTACACTAAAACATAACTATAGTAATCAACTAATAATCAAAATAAAATGCTTAAAATAAAAAAATTAACATGGTAAAAACAAAAGCATCGCCAATGGCTTCGAAGTCTCGAACTCAAGCCCTTCGACCCGAATACGATCCCTCTAACCACTAGACCCGCCGTCAATGTGTACTAACTGTTAACTGTTTATTGAATGTTAACGTTTATGTGTCCTTCAATGCAAAGTGCGTGAAATATGAGCGCTATTTATAATTATATGATTAGTATTCAGTAAATTGAAGTGAAAATAGTTTCTAATAGGAAAAGTGTAATATTCTTAAGTTAAGAGATCCATACCTTAACTAAACCCAAACAAAACCAAATGTTTACAAAAAACAGTCTCTTCTTTTATAAGCTTAAAAATAAGATAATGTTTATAAAATTGTCACAATTGTTATAAATTTCACCATAGATTGCATAACGAATATGTGATAATCATATCATTTCCAATACTGCACTATTCAATGACACTTTGTAGATGTAATGGTTTACTTTTGCTATAAATACTAAATTTAATAAATGCTTCAAATCATTCAACAAAACAAAGTATTGAATATATTTTTTTTAAATAATTTATTGAAAACTAATTCAAAACAATGTCCGCAAAGCGAGAAGTGGTCAGTGCATCAGCTCCGACACCGAGTGGCGCTTTTTCGCAGGCCATTAGACACGGAAACACTGTCTACTTGTCCGGTCAGATCGGGAAGGATGTAAAGACTAACCGATTGGTGACCGAGTCATTTGAGGCCCAATTGGATCAGTTGTTGAGGAATATGAAGAGTGTTGTTGAGGCCGCCGGCGGTTCCCTCGAAGACATCGTTAAACTAACTCTTTTTATTCTGGATTACAAGAACTTTCCCACAATTAATAAAGTATTTGAGCGATACTTCAGTAAACCATATCCGGCCCGGTCTTGCATTGGTGTCGCCAATCTTCCGTTGGGCGCCGACATTGAGATCGAGGGTATCGTTCAGTTACCTCACAAATAATTGATGAAATTGTTAAATTATTTTATGAATTTATTATTTTAATGATTTAAGTCTAAAAATTGTACTCAATTTTAATGATTAATTAATAAAAATCTCACTTCTTTTATAAGTAATGAACATTTTTAATATTTAATAAAAGAATATTTTTATGGGAAATTTACAGTAAGTAATTGTAATAAAAGTGATAGGATTTTATATGGGATTTGAAATGAGCCGAAGATTATTTAGTATTAAAACTTTTGGACACTTTTTGTGTTTTTGATTAATTTATCATTTACTTTCACATTACAGAAAGACATTCACATATACTAATGTTGGACACTTTTAGGTGAATTATTATGTTTCCAATATCTTCCCTTCCAAAAAATATATTCTGGAATATATGCAAACTGGGAGGAAAGTGTCTTACGTTAACTATCATACAAATTGGTTATAAGTTTTAGCAATATGTTTACATTCGTTGTTATGGACAACGAGTGTAGTTTTTGCACCAATTGATATTATATCACAAGTAAGACTTATATCATAATTATATCATAAAACTTATAAATTATCATATTGAAAAATGTCCAGATGTATGATAAAACGAATAACTACCGGTATATAAATTGAACTGTATATTAATATTGATATTTAGACCCAAACTGCACTATATATGCAATTATTTGCTCTCACAATCGTTAGTTTTAATGCAATTTATTCTAATTTTAAAACTTTAGTATCTAATAAAAGTTAGTAACTAATAGTTAATATTTAATAATAGTTATATGTTTAGTTGTAAATATTTAAAACCGTGGAACAAGTTTTGAAATGCAAGTAAATATTTAATGACAATATTCTATATTAATTAAAATATTGTATAAAATAATGTAGAAATGGGTGGAAGAAAGCTGTTGGTGTTATACGCCCCTGCTAATTTTGTGGGTGAAATGATGTCGAGCGTAGGGGCGGCCGAAATGCTGCTCAGAGCAGGACATCGAGTGGTATTCGCGGCCAGAAGTGAATGGAAATCACGTCTCGAGTCAATTGGATTTGAAGTACAACTTATTGGAAAACCGACGGACGAGGACCAAGTGGATAGCGCCGTACAAAATGCAGCAGGGTGCTCGCAATTGGGTCTACTCGACAACAAGACACCACTGGAAAAGGCGATCGTTTCCATTAAGCACAATATGCTTCTCCTCTTTGACGAAGAAGAACAGACCGAACCCTATCTCAAAGCTATTATAGCAGATCTAAAGCCCGACGTTATTATTAGTGACCATTTGGTGACACTTCCGTCAATTGTCACGTCAGGTATTCCCTGGATATTCAGTTGGAGTGATAGTCCGTTATCATTGGATTTTGGTTACGAAGACAAACGTCTTCCGCCTTCTTTCTTAGGTATTTAATGCACATAAATATTTTCAATGTTATATTTAATTATAACGTAAGTTATTATTAATTTTTAAGGATTGCCAACAAATAGTAAAACAGAAATTAAAGAGAAATACAGACAACAACTTAATGCAGCGAAAGCCGAGATTTGGTATAAATATAAGAAACATCTCATTAGTAAAGGCTGTCCGGCTTTGAAAGAGTTCCAGTTGTGGACTCCCTCTCCCTTTGCCAACGTCTATATGACACCCAAAGAGCTCGACTACACAGACATCAGGCCATTGCCCGACACTTTCCATGGATTTGATTATTTCAAGCGTTCGGGAAATGAAGACACGTTTGAAATACCGAAGAATTTGAGGAATAGATCGGGAAAATTGATTTATCTATCATTGGGTTCAATGGGCGGCGGAAATGTGGAGCTCATGAAGAGATTGGTTGCAATTTTGGCCAAATCTAAGCACAGGTTTATTATATCAAAAGGTGTAAAACATAACGAATACGATTTGGCGGACAACATGTGGGGCGATAGGACTCTGCCTCAGATCAAAGTGTTGCCGATCTGTGATCTGGTCATAACCCACGGCGGGAACAATACTGTGACACAAAAGGTGTAAAACATAACGAATACGATTTGGCGGACAACATGTGGGGCGATAGGACTCTGCCTCAGATCAAAGTGTTGCCGATCTGTGATCTGGTCATAACCCACGGCGGGAACAATACTGTGACTGAAACCATGTATTTCGGGAAACCAATGGTATTATTGCCGCTAATGTTTGATCAGTTGGATAACGCACAGAGAATTCATGAGAAAGGCTTTGGTATAAGACTTGATCCGTACGAGTGTTCAGAGAGAGAACTATTGGATTCAATCGATCAGTTGCTTAACGATAATGTATTGGCACTAAAGTTAGAAAGAGTTTCGCAAAGAATTCAATCTGAAAACAATGACCAAAATTACGTAAAACTTGTGGAAAATATTGCTAAAATGAAAATATAATGTGCAAAAAACATTATATAAAAGTTTTTGGGACATTATCTAGACTTACAATTTATTTCAATTGTTAAAACATTTAATTAATTAACTATTTTAATATTTTTAGTCTATTAGTGATTAATTAATAAAAATCTTGATTCTTTTATAAGTAATGACTATGATTTAATATTACTATTATAATATTAATAACTATTTTAATATTATTGATTATTATAATAATAATTAAGTTAAAAATAACAAGTTAGTAAAATTAGACGATAAATTAATGGATTTAACAGAAATAATAACTAAAATTGATGACTAAATAATGAGGGTTTCGTTGAGCGAGACTTTGAGTTCGTAGTTCAGTGTTTGCCAATTGCGAAACGAGTGGTAAGTGTGAAAACAGGCCACTATTATAATACCGCCGAACGTCAGGCCAAATATAATGGCCGGTATTATGAGTGCCAACCGGTAGTGATCGCCAATCAGACCGTCGGATATGATGTAATCAAATATTGCCAGATATAGGATATACATAATGAAGAAGAAACCATAGATGAAACAGATTATAAATGAGGCCTCATTTGTACGCCTAATCCACGAGAAAAAACTTTTGCCAACCCTTTGGATAGTTATGCCTTAAAAATCATTAATAAAAGTATGCATTAATTAACTTTGAATTTGACAATAATGTAATTTACCCTCAAATTTATTCAAACATACGGAACACTCGTCAGTATTACTGATGGTAATCCATTTGGAGAGGCATTTAAAGTGGACATAGGCTGATGTGCCGCTGCAAAGGCACGGCTGTATCAATGGACAGGTGGTTAGGAAACAGAATCGACACATATTCTTGGATTCTGTGGACATTTTCTTTTTTGGCAATTAAATAAAGTTTTTAAATCACAAAACATATAACAATCTGTTCAAAAATTAATGTAAAACCCATTAAATAACAAACAAATAATGCCGTAAAATCCAAACAGCATTTAATACATAGCGTAAAGTCAAGTGATGTGTTAATCCAATTGTGAATATATACACAACAAGTGGTGGTGTGAGGGGTGTAATGCTCTGTTGAGTATTTGGACAATCAATACAAATAATCATAAATATAATGGCATTTGTGGTATAAAAAAGTTTCTCACTTCCCGGATGAGAGACATTATAACTGATATTGTATTTATTAAATGCATTTAAATCCCAACTATATTTTGGTGCACTCGTCGCTTAAATTAGGACATAATTAATGGTGTTTTTAATAAATAGCACCAAATTATTTATTTATTAAATATTTGGCAAATTATTAACTTATAAGTATGACATTAACTGTAAATGTACTTTAACTAATCTATCTAATTTATATAACACATTATGTAATATTGTTTTATTAATTGAAAAAACATGTGTGTGAATTAAATTTAGCGCAAATATTATAATATTTTATAATATTATAATTTATAAAATATGTCTACATTTAAACAAATATTTAACATTCTCATTGCTATTAATTGCATAATCCTTTTTTTGTTAAAACAAAAAACAAAGTGACATCACCCATTCTTCAAAAAACCATGTTCAGCACAAAATAATTTATAAATGCATTTTATATACAGGATTTTATTACAACTGAACAGATATTTAATTAAACACATGTTATAGCAATATATGATAAATGTAGTTGTTATTGTATTGTTTTACATATTTATTCACATAAATTCATGTAAATTTTGTATAAATATCGCATGAAATCAGATAAAACATTATTTACATTGCATTAAAACTTGGCTTATTTATATTTATAAAATATTTAAACAAAATTTAAAACACATTAAAATGCATATAATATGCATAATTGTAGTATTGGTGGCAATAATCGGCTCAATCGATGCCATCGTTTGTCCGCCAAACTATTGTCAAAAGATTTCGTGCGCTAACAGTGTGTCAAGGGATGCGTGTAAAGACAAAAACGGCATTTTCAATGAGCATGGTACTTATTGTGGCTGTTGTCCCGCTTGTCTCAATAAAATTGGTAATTATTGTTCATGTGATAACATTGTCATTATTGCCAATTTTTAATATATAATTATGTAATTAAAGCTGAGGGTCAAAGTTGTGGCATAACTCTGTTGAAAGGGGTTCCACCCAAAGCCCAATGCGCTCCCGGTCTCCGATGCGATACAACATCCCATACTTGCGTTCAAATAGTGATTGGATAACATTAAATTCAATGGGTGTTTGTTTTTGTTAATTTGATTTTTCAATTAATAAAATTATATTTGAAATATAAATTTTTAATGATTCCATTTATTTTTAATTAAATTTATTACATTTATAAAGAATATGTAAAGTCATTATGAGTTTTAATTTTATAAATTGATAAATTATTTTCTTAGCAAGAATTTTAAATTATAAATTTAATTAATTAATTATAGATAGTGTAAAACTGGCACTTTCTATCAATATTTGATATAAATCATGTTGCACTTTAATAAAATTATAATACAATGTATATTCTATAAATAACTCGTTGCTATGAACTAATTGTGAACTAAAAGACAACTGTATTTAATCTGTGTTTTAGATTATATTATCCATTCGCTATCTGCTTGTGATTGAAATGCTTAACATTGAACTTAAAATACAGTATATTATCGATTGAATAATTTTTATATTACATAATCTGCTAGGTAGTGCACAAAATTGAGTCTAAATAAAATATCTGGCTATTTTATTTCTAATAGCATTACTAATTCTATAAATTAAATATGATAAAATTGAGTATATTTAATAAGTATCTAAATATAGATTATTGTTTGCAAATTGCCGCAAAATAAATTCATATAACATATTTAATTGTAATAATTGTGATATTTCTGTGACTATTTATATAACAAATTCTGTAACAAATGGTTTGTAACA